CTGTAGGTGCAATTTTTTTTTTGAGTTTGGTATTTATGTTGGGCCTTTTGCATTTCATTCATTAGGAAGTCTAGCTCCTCACACCCCAGGAGATACTGAAAATGTTTATTTACCACATGATACCCTGCACCAGCTGCAATGGAAAGTAGCAAGAGCTGTGTGTCTGGCTGCTCTGTTTCTTGGAGGTAATTCAAGAAGCAGCGAAGAGACAAACTAACCTCATAAGTGGCCTTTCTTTGAGCTTCTGTTTCATCAGACTTAGATATGACCATGGCTTCCATGAGGTCATTCTTGATTTTCTTTAAGCTTGTATTTAATTGAGAAAATTGGGAGATGTTGATGTGTTCTTGCACTGACTTTGCCTGGAAGACCCACTGCAGGATGGAATGAGCCTGAGGGAAGTCATTCACTCTGTGGATGTGAGGATCCAAAAGGCTGCACAACTGAGATTTAATAAACTTAGTTTCATAAATGGAAGACTGTTTGCAAAAGTTAACAGTTTTTACCAGAAAATTCTGCAGACCCAAATTTGTGAGGCATTTGTTAACCCAAGTGTCATAACTGTTTGTTTTTTGACTCAATATTTGCATGAAATTTATCAGTTTTTGAAGCTGCTCTTCAGGATCAGATACCTCCCAGGATTTCACATCCTCTAGGGAAACTCCAGCCTCCTCCTCAGCACTCAGTAATTCTTCTCCATCCTGGATCTGGGCAGTGAGGCCAGTCAGAACAGTATAGCTATCCTTTAGTAAGCTAGCTACTTGACATGGATCCTTAAAATCACTTTTGTGGTTGGAGAGGATGATGTCCCAAACCGGCACCAGCTGAAGTCCCCGGTCAATGACACTCCAGGTTTGATTACTGGCAACTAGGCCAGATTTCCATTCGAGAAAGCCATTTGCTTCTGGTGGGCCACCCGTCTGGGCCACAGATAATTGGACTTCAGTTTGGAGATTTTTCAAGGTTGTGCTTTGGGTGGAAGTTTCTGAACTAGAGTGTGACCCATCCACACCTGCAGGAACCTTCACTCCAAAGCCACTGTAGCTGCCCCTTATGTAACCATTCAGGGCCTCTGCTGACTGCTGTTTTACTTCTGCCAGCTGCTCACTTTGGAAGCCCTCTGATACGGCTTTCCACCAGTAGATTCCTCCCAGGTGCAGAGGGCCCTGGTTGGCATGAGAGCCAAACCTTTGGAAGAAAGCGTCAGCCCTGTGCCTCAGCAAGGGGAATCTGTTCGGATCTGCAGGCTGACCCAGATCTTCAATGCGTTTCAGTTCCTGGAGAGCAGCCTTGGAGAACTGGAGCTGATCCATGGGAAAGTGGCAGGAGGCAAGTGGGACATAGCTGAACTTGGTAGAGCAGAAATAGGAGTGCTCAGAATGTGATTGTTGGGTTTCCTTGGATTCTGAATGTCTGCTGTGGTCGATACCAGCTTCCATGCTAAATCCCCAACCTCCACCCTTGGCTGAGGCAATTACACTGAAGCCCAGCTTCTCTGTCATCTGGGTGAACTGGGATTCTTCTTGAGACGATGTAAATTCCCTGGTTTCCATCCGAGTGCCATGCTCAGGGCCAGAGATTATGAACTCCTTGGGGACACTGAGCAGTTCTTCTCTCTTCTGTATAAGCTCTATTTGGTAGCTGGTTTTGTAAATTCCCTGCAGGGCCAGCCCTCCAGATGCCCATCTCATGAGATCTCTATCTGGGAGGTTTTGCCTGT